TGGCATAGAGCCGTTCTCGCCTCAAGACTCCCAATAACTCTCGTAGATGCTCCTCGTGCTGCTCACGGGTCTTGGAATACACCAAGATGTCATCTATGAACACGATGACCGAGCGATCAAGCATCGGCCTGCAGACCCGATTCATCAGGTCCATGAATACTATTGGCGCGTTGGTGAGCCCGAAAGGCATCACCACGAACTCGTAATGACCATAACAGGTCCGAAACGCGGTCTTCTCCACGTCCTCCTCTCTAACCCGGACCTGATGATACCCTGACCTCAAATCAGTCTTGGAGAACCAAGATGCATCCTTTAACTGATCAAAGAGATCATCTATCCTCGGGAGTGGATAACGGTTCTTCACCGTTAACTTGTTCAACTCCCTATAGTCAATGCACATCTGGTGCGAACCGTCCTTCTTCCAGATGAAAAGGATTGGTGCTCCGCTCGGAGAACTGCTAGGTCGGATGAACTGCTTGCTCAGTAGTTCCTGCAACTATGCGACAGCTCCTTCATCTCGGGTGGCGCCTACCGGTACGACGCCTTAGCGATAGGGGCCGCACCTAGCACCAGGTCGATCTGGAACTCGACCTGCCTATTCGAAAGTATCCCTGGCAACTCCTCTGGGAACACGTCAGCAAACTCTCTAACCACCGGGACCTCTGAAAACTGGAGTCAATTCCATGACCTGCGTATCCACCACATACGCTAAATAACCCTTACACTCGTGCTGAATATACTACCGAGCACTGGCAGCCGAACAAAACCCTGATCCTACTCTAGTGCCCTCGCCATATACCACCAGTTCTCCCCCACTTGGGGTTCGAACTACCACCCACTGCCCCTCGCAGTCAATCATAGCACCAAATCGACTAAGCCAATCCATCCCCACAACCACGCATACATCCCTCATGGGAATCGGGATCAAATCTATCGGGAAAGGTATCCCGAAGATGTCCATCTCACATCCTCGGTAGACCGAAGAAGTAGAAACCCCGTGTTCGTTGGCGATAGAGACTCGCAACGGACACTCTAGCTTGCCTACTGGCACTTTGAACTCCCTACTAAATGTCTGAGATACAAAAGAACGACTCGCCCCCAAGTCAAATAAAACCAATGTAGGTAAGGAGTTCACTAGGAACATACCTAATCACAGGTACACAGATAAGCATACAACAGATATAGTAAATGAGATAAAGGATAGAAACATACCGGAAACCACATCCGGTGCTGCCTTGGCCTCCTCGGCCGTAAGCTGGAAAGCACGCCGCTGAGCTTTCGGAGGCTCTACCCTAGTTGGCCTCCCATCCATAATCCTCAATGTGGCCGGCGCTGGAGCCTGCGCCAGCTTGGCGGCTAATAATGGACACTGGGCCTTCATATGGCCCACCTGCTTACAGTGGTAACAAAGTCTGACCTCGGAAGTCGGAGTCTGCTGCTTGCAATCCATGGCCAGATGGCCCTGCTTGCCACAACGATGGCACCAACTCCCTGCTCGGCACGTCCCTGAATGAGCCTTCCCGCACTTTTCACAAGTGCGGCCTGGCTGTCCCCCAGTCCTGGTATCAGCAGTCTTAGGCCGGTTCGGCGCCGACTGTGACTGTGTCGGTGCCTGCCGCTGCTCCCTAATCTGCAGCTCAATCTCTAACTCACGCCGCCTCGCGGCCTCTTGTAGATCCAATAGTGTATCACATATCTGAGTGGCAACAAACCGGCCGATGTCAGTCTTGAGCATGCTCAGATATTGTGTCATCTGAGCTTGCTCCGAGGCAAACTCCGGGCAAAACATCGCCCACTCAGTAAACATACGGGTGATCTCCGTCACCGACTCGGTACCCTGCTTCAGCTCCAAGAACTCTTGTGACAACCGCTCGCGCTCGGCCAGCGGAATGTAGAGAGCGCGAAACATATCCCTGAACTGCTGCCAAGTAACATCAGCTCTCTGCTCAACCATATATGACCCAGTTAACCAACCTCCACCAGTCATGTGCCCCGGTCCTCAACAAATTCAGGGCACACCTGACCTTCTGGTCAGTAGGACATGAGCATGTGAAGAAATATCCATCCACGTCAGACAGCCACCTCATGGCCATGATAGGATCCTGAACACCATCAAAAGTCGGGGGCTTCGTGTTATCGAAGTCCCGGTACTGGAAGCCCCGACTGGCTCCTCCCCCTCCTACCGCTGTTACAGCCGCGGTACCTGCAGCGGTAGCCGTCTCAGCAAGGGCTGCGTATCGGTCATCAAAGTTCTCCATCGTAGTGGACTTAATAGTCCCAAACAACTCCGGAATCTGACCCCGAACAATCTCGACCACCTCCTCACGGATGATCTCCCTGACCCGATCCTCTGTCAACACTGGCTCCCCTTGGCCAATAATCTCAGGTGCCGCTGGGGCCTCCTGATCACCCTGTCCCGATCCCAATCCTGATCCAGTCATGAAATGCCTCGTAACCACCATACTGAAAATATAACAAGAAGATATCAGACAATCCGCATAAATAACCAGGAACCATCCCCGCCTTCTAAACCCTAGGGGTTGTGACTTCCTTGCTACGCGTATGGGGCCTGTGCTTTCAGTAGTACGGGCCGATACTACCTTCCACACCTACCCATATTGGTATCAAGTATCATCACAACACCCTAACTATATATACACATAATGATCGCTCAACTGCACCCCTGGAGGAAGGCTAAATGTCTCACCACTGACCAACCGGTCTCACACCACCACCCAACCATGAAACTTCCACCAACCCTGCAGCACTAGTGTATGCTAACCATACATAACACTGGACCCTATAGACTTTCGAATATCCAACCCTACTCTAAGCTCCCAATCATACAAGAACAGAACATAAGGCCAAATCAAACATTTTCAGGCTATAAGATCTTAATTATGTATCGCCGTGATGCATACACCAAGTAACTACAGTAATGATGTCAATCTCATATAAAGGAAACCCTAGGCTAGTAGGCATCATAAAATCAGGCAACTCTATCAAGCAATTCCTGAAGATCCCTAGCCTAGCACTAGCATGTCATTCTAATATATCACATAATCAAATACTGCATGGTATTTTGGGATCTACTTACTGGCTCCGGCTGATCGTACACCCTACATCCTCCTTCACTTATTTTGAAAACCATTTGAAACTATTTTGAAAACTTTTCCTTGATTTGAGACTGGATTCACACTAATGTTCCTCCAATTCACTCAAACCAAGGCTCTGATAGCAACTTGTAAGACCCATAAAATCATGCCAAATTTGAACTTTTGAAAAACGATTCAAAACTATTAATTCATTACAACTTGTTTTCAAAATATACAATATCAGAGTTTTCCCCAGAACCATAAACAAAACAGGAGGAGTTGTACGATTATGCCTTCGCCTTGCCACGATCCCTAATGTACCTGAAACAATAAACTGAAACTATAAGCCCGAAAGCTTAGTGAGTTCCCCCAAAAGTCCAAGGGTCAACCCATGGTCAAAGTCAAAGTCAACTGCCAAGGTCAACAGTCCAAGTTGACCTGAACTCTTCGAGTGCAACCAGCCACTTGCCAAGTTCTTTGCATAACTCGTCCACTCGCCGAGTCACCAGAGTGACTCGCCGAGTTCTTAAGGCTTGCGGTCAAAGCTCCTTAAACACTTGTCGAGTTTTCCCTTTTGCAACTCGACAAGTTCATAAACATCCACCGGTTGGGAAGAATTCTAACCGACTCACCGAGTCTACGACAATCTTCATCGGTCGATACTTTTTAAACCATGCAAAGGCTCCATATTGTAGATCCAACTTTCCCAGTCATGCCTAACATGTAAAGTTGCAAACTTTACGTACATACAAGGTGAAAATGGCCCAAATCAAGTTAAGGAAGAGACTCCAGGCAAGATAAGGGCACTATCATGCTAAATGCTAAAACTTTATGATCACAAGGGCCAAGATGAACCCAGATCTGAAGTTGCAACTTCAGATCTTGATTCATCACCCGAAATGGTACACCTTTAAGCTAAAATGGCCCCAAAACTTAAATATATAGAGGGATCTAGCTAGAAGGGAATCAAGGTAATGACTTGATACCTTTAAATGATGATAAACTGGTGTAGACTTCAGATCCACAACCGTTCATTGCCTCAAACTTCTTGGTCTTCAAGCTCTTTGCAACAAAATCTTCTTTCCAAGCTTAACAACACACAAATATGGAGAGAAAACGTGATTTAGGGTTTTAGATGACAAAGAACTGAATAGGGGAGGCTAAGGAAGGCAAATGATCCTTTAAATAGGGTGCAATACCCCGGGATTTAGGGTTTCATCTGCCAGCTCCTACTCGTCGAGTCCCTTCTTGGACTTGGCAAGTAGGTCACTAAAACACGCAGACCAACCCGCTACTACTCGACGAGTAGGACCACCAACTCGTAGAGTAGACCTTAAAATCAAGAAAACTCTTATATAAATCAATACCTAAGAATCGGGGTGTTACAATAGTTAGCTTTCTTGTGTTGTATATGGATGACGTACTGTTAGGATGAAAATCCTTAATGATCGTTTAGATTCAAAACAAGTAAAAGAAGAACACGATGATGATTCAAAGATGTTTAATGATTAACTATCACGCCTCAGAAGAACTCGATGAAGAATTGCTACTGTAGAGGCGTGATTAGGGTTACAATACAAAATCAGAGTTTTTTTTAAATAAGATGCATGCATGCACCATAAATACTCTAACCCTAGAATTAAATATAGGAGGACAGGCCCAACCCGTTTACATAATAGACTTATACAAAAAGGCCCAATGACGCAACATCTAATACCCAACAATCTCCCCCTTTGCATCAATTGAGGCATGAGTCCATTACCCTTAAATTCGTTTTTGTACTTCATAAATCTTCGGAATGAAGCTCAATAGCACATTGCAAACTCGAATGTACCACAAGACCATGTCAGAGAAGCACTTGAGATCCTCCTTATTGTTGCCCTTGAAGCACTGCAAAGACAGGTCTCAACTTCTTATTGAGACCTGTCTCAACTTCTCATTCAGATGCTTTCTTACGGAGATGGTGACCATTGAGTCCCTGGTCTCAATGACATCTAAGAGTAAACCTGTAATATCAGAGATGCAGTTTTTTGTTACAGCCCTCTTAGTGATCAAATCTTGGACCTGTTTCTCATCCTGTTCAAGCTTAACAGTGAGAACCTTAACTCTTTCAGTTTTGATGGCAAGAGAGTCCATGATTTTACTCTCCATTGCCAGTTCTGCTTGAAGGTTGGAAATTTGAGAGGAGATGGAGGTTTGAAACGCATCATGGTCAGATTTGAAACTAGTGCGAATTTCTTGCAATTTTGCCTTTTCAGTTTTAAAGAGGGAACCCAAACTCCTTAGAGATTCATTGGTCATCGTTGTACTAGAGTCAAAAGTAGTTCGAAAGTTCTCCATGAACGTAGTAGTTTCAGATATCTATTTATCGACTTTTTCGGTCGTTGTCTTGCAAACTTTAGTAGAATCAGCAACTGCTTTATTCATCTTTTCAACATTGGTTGTATGCTCTTTCGTTATTCGTTCAAATAGAGACTCAATCGCTGCTTTAGAATAAGCCTCAGAAGATGACGCCTTGGAAGCAAGAAGCAGTTGGTCTATCTTCTTCATGCAGTGACTACAATTGCCGTTTCATGACAATGGCTTCATCTTCACTTTCAGTCCTTATCTGGAAGGCACTGTAGGTGAATCCACCAAGGTCTGCATCTTCATCATCCCCCAAAACCATATCTGGATCATCATGGCGAATAGGGGAAATTGGTGGTGAAACCTGCATTGAAGTGAAACCTGAAAATTGAGCCCATGTATTAGATACGTTGACCGAAACTGGAGGTTCGGCTGAAGTAGTGGGTGGGATGGTAGAAGCAATGAATAGTGGAGTAGATAAAGGAACTGTAATCTGAGGTTGTGTAGAAACAGGTGGAAGGAATTGTGAAATGGTGATAGGAGTTGTAGTTGTTTGAGATGAAGGAGGAGAAGAAGGAACATAATCATTAAAAGGTTGAGTCACCTCAGGGTTCGAAGTCAGTTCTTCGTTGTGAATGGTTTGGCCTTCGATGCGAACTGTTTCTTCTTTGTTGCAAACATTGTCATCCTCTTCGTTACGCACTGGTTGGTCGTCCTCAATGCGAATATCTGACTCAGACTCAGAATCTAAACCTTCACTACCAATTGGAGTAGGAGTTGTAGTAGGAGACTTTTGCTTGCAAGTAGGTTGCTTTCGCCTTTTGGGAGCAGCAGTAGAAGTAGTTGTTGGTGCCTTCTTCTTTTTGTGTGATTTTCCAGGTACCGATGGTCCTTCTTTGTCAGCAGTTTTCTTATCTCCCTTCTTCACACCCTTTTTGCCCCCTGTCTTGTCTTTATCAGCTTCAGCCAAAATCACTTGCATTTTTGGGGTTAAAGGACGAAACCCAGAGGGAGTCAATTTCCTGTATCCCTCCAAGATTTGGCTAGCAGACGGCACATCATGAAACATAGCTTTTGTGATAGATCCAATAAAGGAGAATTTTGAAGTGTCAGAAATGATGATCCCAGTGGTGTGAAAAGTTGAAATAGAGGCCATCAGTGCATCTGCCATTAGAGGAATCTGGAGTTTGTCAATGGACCGGTGAACAATGATCGTCCAAAAACGTGCATAAGAGATTTCACTGTGACGTGTGGTAGAGTGGGTGCTCTGAATGACTTGAGCCCAAAGAACTGACCCGTAGTCAACATTCCGACCTGTGTAAAGACCATACATGAGTGCCATGAACATCTTGCTGGCACAATCGGATCCATTCACCCTTTCAGAAAAGCTTTTGAACAGCAGAGTGAAGAGACCATTCCATAAAGGAGGCAGATTAGGTTTTCTGAACTTCGACACAGCAGTTAGGGTTTCTTTGTAACCTATCTGGTATAACATCTCCAGAAGATCGGCGCTGTAAATAATTTCATGGCTGATCATATCTTCAGTTTGAGGAAGCCCTAGAAGTGTGCAGAACCGAGTTTTGGTGATGGAAGTGGTACAGTTGTGGATCTCGAAGGTGATCCTTTGTTCCTCCTTGATGTAGTTGGCAGAAGTGTAAGCTTTAGAGAGAATCGACAGAGGAACATTCTCCATCATGGTAAGAGCAATCATCGATGGTGAATACTTGAGGCATTCAATGATTGGTAGCATGAAAGCATCATATTTGCACGGCTCTAGATCAATCAACAAGTTCTGGTGTTGTTTGATGGCCAAGAGAGACGAGTGAACAGTCTGATCTTGAACGGAAAGGTTTTCAGAAGAACCCGCCATTGTTGAAAGCCTGAAAGAGAAGAAGATGAACAGTAGAAGCTTTGATTGTCGGAAATCTATTGAGAGGATTTTGCAAGTGGTAATGAGAGAGGAGTCCTCAAAATCCTTATATACCATTCGATTTGTGAGAGAAATCCGGAGAGAGAGTGCATCGGTTACTGAAACTTCGCCTGAAAAAGCGCGACTTGACAATTGTATATGTCAGAGCTATACGTCATACGGTAGTAAAGTAGCTGTCCGTTCAAAATTTCATGCGACTTTTTGAATTCGTATCCACAGGAACTTGTCGCAGCAGCTATGCCCTTTCGCAGTTAAACATTATTAGACCCATACAACACGAACATTCGTTTTTTGGCAATCTTGGGTTGAACTGCGAACCTGAAAATAACATTGAGAACCACAAACCAGATTTTTGAAAATTACGAGGATCTTCGTGCAAGTGTGTCAAAGATAAAGAAAGAAAATAATACTTATATGTGGGATTTGTGATGTCTAAGTAAAGACATGAAACTGTGGATCCCGAGCATAGATGTCTTCCTTTGAAGTTAAGAGAGACTAAGAAGTGTCTGTGTGGATTCCCATTGAAATACGATCAAATGTTTGATAAGAAACATTGAAAGGCATCTTTTCTTCAGGTTAAAAGGGTGGCTTAATCTTCAACCAAACTACGAACTTGACATAAGTACGAAAGTTGGATGAAGTACTCGTGTGACCAATGTAGTCAGTTGAACGAGTAGCTTTGGAATTATTTAAGTAACTTGGATAAATTTAGAAATCTAAAAAAAAAAAAAAACTGGATCTTGTTGGGAAGAAAAGTCTTAGGCCTAGAGCATTTAATCAAGATCTCACAAAAGAAAAATAGATTTCTTGGTACAGACCACAAACGTGGACATTCGTTAATTCCTTGGTGAAAAATCTAGAACTTTTATATGTTCACCGTCAATTCAGAGAGTGTATTGAATTTTGGGTTTCACTCAGTTCGTGGTAGAACGAAACTAAGATCCTTAACATAGATGTTGTGCAACGATAAACCTCAGTGGTAATTTCTAAGAGTCTGAAGGTTTGCGATCATGAAAGCAATAGCGATGGAGAAATGTAGAGATGGTTTAAAGAAACGAATGTACCTCTGCAGTGTGTAAGTGACTATGTAGACAACTCTTAACTCAATGTGAGAAAAGTAAGGTAGCTCATGACTAACGTGATTTCGCAGCCTGATTGGGAAGAATGGATTGGTAGAATGAATTCATTAAGGCTTCACATTGGACTCATTAAGGCTTAGGACAACATGCAATAGCATGCTTCTATGGACACTTAGCTAATACATAGGTAAAGAATGTTGTACTTGCCCAATCATACGAATTGATGGATGTTACAAATATCCTCCATGAGTTTCTTGTGTGCCTAATATTTTTGGCATTTTTATGTTTTTATGAAGATAAAAGAAATAAAAATAAACACAAATAAAATATTTTTATAATTTTGGTTTTCTGAAAGGAAATAATACTGAAACAAATAAACTATTTTTGGATTTTTGAGATTTTCTGAAAAAGAATTAAAAACAGAAAATATACAAAAGCGAAATAAAGATAAGCAACAATATACATAAAGTACAAAAGGATATAAGAAAATCCAAACCACAAATGAACAATGGACTGCGAACTACTACGAACGTTCGCACCGATTCGCATCGATAAAGTAGACTGCGAATGAACAGTTGAATGCGAACTACTACGAACGTTCGCACCGATTCGCAGTGATAACTTTATGAGTGCGAAAGTGGTTTTGGAATAGATTTAACTTCCATCATTCCTAGCCCTTGAAGAATTCTATTAAAGGTTTTTTCAAGCTGGGCCTTCTGAATATGTCAGCTATCTGATCAGTGGATCTTACGAAGTCTATTTCAACGTTGCCATCTTCCACATGATCCTTGATGAAGTGATACCTCAGTGTTATGTGTTTAGTCTTTGAGTGTTGCACTGGGTTGTGACAAATACGAATGACACTTTTAGAGTCACAGTAAAGAGGGATTCTTTTCATGCTTAAGCCATAGTCACAAAGTTGGCTTTGAATCCAAATGACTTGGGAGGTGCACCAAGCTGCAACTATATATTCAGCCTCGACTGTTGACATAGATACACAAGTTTGCTTCTTGGATTGCCAACTGACAAATTTGCCATCGAGAAATTGGCATCCTCCAGTTGTGCTCTTTCTGTCTAATCCACATCCCCTAAGGTTAGCATCCGAAAATGCTTGTACAAAGAAGCCTGAGTTCGAAGGATACCATATGCCAAGTGATGAGGTTCGTTTCAAGTATCTGAATATATTCTTGACAACCACCATGTAAGGTTCGCGAGGGTTTGGTTGGAGATTGGAATTGTGGCTGGACTTGGCTTAGGGAAGATCTCCTTCGTGTGACTATCGCCTGACTGAATCCTCTTCAAGTAGTTGTCATCAAACGTGACATAATAGGTTTCTTCCATTTTCTTGGATCGTTTGTTAAGAACCCTATATGCCTTAGACGTCAGCGAATATCCTAAGAATATACCCTCGTCAGCTTTCACATCGAACTTGTTGCGTTGTTCCTTGGAGTTGAAGATAAAACACCTTGAACCAAATACGTGGAAAAACTTAACGTTAGGTTTGCGATTATTTATGATTTTATAAGGAGTAATAGAGAATCGCTTATTCAGAATGGATATGTTTTGGGTATAGCAAGCTGTCGCAATTGCATCTGCCCAGAAATAGAGAGGCAGACATGCGAAGGTCAGCATGGTTCGTGCAGCTTCACACAAAGAACGGTTTCGTCTTTCAACTAATCCATTCTGTTGTGGAGTATAAGGAGCAGAAAAATTGTGTGTTACTCCTTCTCGGAAAGAAACTCTTCAAATGCTTGGTTTTTGAATTCAAGCTCGTTGTCGCTGTGTACATTGCGAACCAGCTTTCACAGTTGATGCTCGATTTGCTTGATGTAATCTTTGAGTTCTGGAGTTGCTTCAGATTTCTGTTTAAGAAAATACAACCAAGTGAAATGTGAAAAATCATCAACTATAACAAGAATGTACTTACTACCACCAATACTTTCGATGTGTAGAAGTTCCAATGGTTCAATAACTTTCGTGTTTACAATTGTTGGATGACTTTTCCTGCTTTGCTTCCCATTTCGCATGTTGCACATAAATGATCCTTGTCGAATTTTAAGAGAGGAATCCCTCGCACATGATCACCAAGAACGAGCTTGTTGATGTCTTTGAAGTTTAAGTGCGAAAGTCTTCTATGCCATAACCAGCTTTCGTCTGAGTGAGCTGTAGCACCTGGTTCCTGGTATGTAAATTTATCTAAGTATTTTGCATTTTTAGCCTTGGACTCGGCGAGTTGTAGGCCCGAATCGCCGAGTAGAGCCGGGACATGGAACACGTTTAAGTTGGCGACTCGGCGAGTCCATATTCTGGACTCGGCGAGTCCCCGCTGTCTGGTGAAACCCTAATTCCAAGGATTTGCACCCTATTTAAACCAACCTTATGCGCCCCAAGCTCGCCCCCATTCACCCTCAGAGCCCCCTATATCGTTCTAACATTGTTCCTTGTGAAATTGAAGTGCTTGGTGTGATTTCTTGAAGACTTTGAGAGAGAAAGGAGAGTAGATCAAGAGGAGAGGAAGGAGGCCAGGCATCTTGGTGTTATTTCAGAGAGATTTCCTTGAGGTATAACTCAGTTTCCCTCTGTTTTCATGCTTATAGTCCCTTAGAGCTCCATTAAAGTCCTTCTTGAGCGATTTCCAAGCTTGGGTATGAACTAGGGTCTATGATAAGCTGATTAACCTTTAGATCTAGACATGATTGAGCTCCAGGAGGTCGGATCCACTGCCTTTATGAAGCCATATTGCATGAAATCCCTAGATCTACTCTTTTAGTGCATTTTGAGCCCTAAAACCGTCATTGGTGTTTATTTACACGTAAAGTTGGAAACTTTACGTGTTAATCAAGCCCTAGGAACCTAGATCTACGTATGGAATGAGCTGGATCCAAGCAAAATCGAGTATATAATAGTTGCATGTGGCCAACTCGGCGAGTCGTTCATCGGACTCGGCGAGTCGAGTCGCGAGTCCTCGAGTTT